AAAAAAAAAAAAAAAGGACTCATATTTGCAATGCATATTGATTTCTGGTCATGCGGTGAAGGTTGAGACTCAGTCAGTATGACCAGTGTTGTCAAATAGCGGCCATGGCTGAAAATATGACCAGTGTTGTCAAATAGCGACCATGGCTGAAAATAGACTGCCTGCTATTTAGTGTCCGCCTTCTGGCAAGTTATATTTGCTTTCTCCGGTGAGAAATTGAGAAATAGAACACCACACCTGGCGAACCACCACAGGCGATCCTTTCTCCGGTGAACCACCACCTATAGTTAAACAATCATATCCGCAAAATATGGTCGCATGACATTGTCCATGCAACCAGACTTTAATTCCTAAGAAAAATGGTTATATACCTCACTTGACTAACCTAAAACTACAATTCTATGGCCAACAACAAAAAAAAAAAAAAAAAAAAAAAGATTCCAATTCTGCCATAAATCCCCAGAAAAACTCTGAAGACCAAAAGTTCGTTGGTAGATCGATATCCATGATCATAGACAAAGGAAAATCAGGAGTAATGCCCTTCGGCATTACTTAAATCATAGCACGCAATTTGGTCTCAGCGTCATCAAGTGGTTGCCCTGCATAAAGCTGAAGTTGTCGTTTCTTCACAACCAACACCTCTGAGTTCATGTATTTTGCTGATTCATTCAGTTCCTGAGAAAAAAGAGCAGTTACATGGGGCTACTTGTAATTTTAAAAGACAACTAGACATAGTAAGCTGTAAGCTTAACTTAATTAGGGGTGTTTTAGCAAATATCCAAGAGAAATGGCAATATTATATAGAAACAAGATAGGGGACTATTTTCATAATGCAGCTTCATTGAGACACTTACTTTGATCGTTAAAGGAACAATATCAGCCATGAAATCTTCCATATAATCAAAGAAGGACTGCAATAGATAACTGAAGTTGGTAGCATCTGTACTTTCCTCAAAGGCAACTAAATGAGATAACTGTTCACCTGTGCTAGAAATGCTCTGTAATGAATACAATCCAATACTCTCATCATCCTGACCTCTACCCATAACAATAACCTGAGTCGAGAGAATAACATAAGTTGATTAGTACTTCTACTGAAAACTTTTGTTATGGATTAAGGTAATTGACTTTCGGGAAGTGCTGGCGGTTCTGATAGATTGCAGGGTAGATTCGACATAATACATAGGAAATTTAACTTTCTCACGAGAAGGGAAAAAGAAAAACAGAATCCTTGAGTTGAGGTTTGAGCTTATAACTAAAAACAATAAATTCCCATTTGAGGTTCGTTTCCTCTATGCTACTCCTCTTTAGAGATGAGCACAGCCAAACCAAAAACAAAAAATCGAGCCAAGCGATTGATTCGGTGCACATTCAATTTTCAAAAACCACACGAATTGCAGTTTGGTTCAGTTTTTGACAAAATGCATTGGTTTGCACCGATCGAACCGAAATTATTATTACTATTATTTTATGTCATTTTTTATCTTCTAAAATTTCAGGATGGGGCCACGCAACGATGCACATTGTTCATTAAAACAATGATACTACAAAATAGGACCTATATGATACACCATGATCTCTTGTTTTTTATTCAAAAACAGATGACACAAAGCATGAAACTCCACTCTTTTTGATTCAATGCATACAAAACCACAGACATGAACATTAGTGCCAAACAGAAGTGGAAAATAAACATAAGAACTAC